CTGGAGTCTCTGAAGACGCTCAAGATGGTTCAGGAGAAGGACCACGTTAATCCTCCTGAACCAGGACCGCCTTAACCCTCCTGAACCAGGACCACGTTAATCCTCCTGAACCAGGACCGCCTTAACCCTCCTGAACCAGGACCGCCTTAACCCTCCTGAACCAGGACCACGTTAATCCTCCTGAACCAGGACCACGTTAATCCTCCTGAACCAGGACCGCCTTAACCCTCCTGAACCAGGACCACGTTAATCCTCCTGAACCAGGACCACGCTAATCCTCCTGAACCAGGACCACGCTAACCCTCCTGAACCAGGACCACGTTAATCCTCCTGAACCAGGACCACGTTAATCCTCCTGAACCAGGACCACGCTAATCCTCCTGAACCAGGACCACGCTAACCCTCCTGAACCAGGACCACGTTAATCCTCCTGAACCAGGACCACGCTAACCCTCCTGAACCAGGACCACGCTAACCCTCCTGAACCAGGACCACGTTAACCCTCCTGAACCAGGACCACGTTAATCCTCCTGAACCAGGACCACGCTAATCCTCCTGAACCAGGACCACGCTAACCCTCCTGAACCAGGACCACGTTAATCCTCCTGAACCAGGACCACGCTAACCCTCCTGAACCAGGACCACGCTAACCCTCCTGAACCAGGACCACGTTAATCCTCCTGAACCAGGACCACGCTAACCCTCCTGAACCAGGACCAATTTAATCCTCCTGAACCAGGACCACGCTAATCCTCCTGAACCAGGACCATGTTAATCCTCCTGAACCAGGACCACGCTAACCCTCCTGACAGGGACCTGCTCATCCACCCAAACTGTTCCTGAAGCTCCGTCAGGTCTGTGGTCTTTAATGTTCAGTGATGATGAACAGAGAGGGTCCACAGTGGTTACTTCCTGCTGTGAGGTCGGATCGAGGTCGGTTCATGTTCTCACTACAAACAGACGAACCAGAGTCTGAAAAAGCGGGCCGAGTACACCTTTTCAAGCGGTCTCTGTACGGTTGTTTGGTCTGCACCAGGGTTTGATTGACATCTTTCAAACCAGAGTAAACAAAACGCACTAACCTGGCAAAGTCCCTAAAGCACTCTTTCAACTCGTGGTCGGAGATCGTCTAAATGGCGTTATATGTATTACTATCACTTCCTGCACCGACAGTGTGAACACAAAAACAAGTAGCCAGGTCAAACATCCTGTTTGGAGAGAAATATGAAAAAGTTCCTCGTGTCCAAAAATCACCAAACAAGAACAGTTTGAAAAAGATGGATGTGAATTTCTCATAAACAACTTCAACAGTTCTTGCCGCCTTCTGATCAGCCTCGTCTTTTTGTGAACAATCAGACGAGTCAGAGCAGGAGAAACACTGTGGGGAACACACAGCTACACATGTACATATAATCAGACAAACACAAACACAGCGGAGCAGAAAAACAACGACCTTCATACAAACAGTCCCATGTTCTCTCAGTGGATGCATGTTAGCTCTCTGCCTCCATGTATATTTATATGCAGAGATTCTTATCAAGGGAACGCCACGAGATGTGATACGGGCACGAATACATTACACGAGGATCTGTGTTTGTGTGTTCTTCTGTCTTTGTGAGGACCGTGTTTTAAAAAATGGAAATATTTCACAGAGAGCGGAAAACTTTCAGGACATTTAGACACTTCTGAATGTGAGAGCACAGAAGATGTTTTTATAGATAATCATTTAAAGGTACAACATTTTATCATAAATAAATCCTAAAGTCTGTCCTGAGTAAATGTGTCTCTGAGTCCTGACTGTCTACAATGAGGGAGAAGCTCGAGTCCCGCTGGCTGTGTTGTTGTCAGAGCCGTGTTTACATGGACGGGACGGCCGGCTCCTCCCCTTGTGTATAAAAGCTGTTTTAGTCAAGAACTAGAGAGAAGAAGAAGAACATACTCACTGATTATTTGGATGTTAGTAAGAGTTTTTAGATCACGCTCATTCTGTGTCAGTTTATATGAAATGTGAAGCTACGAGCTAACTAAAGAGCGCTAACATTAGCATGCTAACACAACAATGTGAAGCTATGAGCTAACTACAGAGCGCTAACATTAGCATGCTAACACAACAATGTGAAGCTATGAGCTAACTACAGAGCGCTAACATTAGCATGCTAACACAACAATGCAGGACACAGGTGATCGCAGCTCGAGACGAGGACGATTTTATCTGCCTCTTGGGCCTAATAGAGCTTAATTAGTGTGCATTCTAATTCATAACTCTTCTGTTTGAATATGAGTCGAGGGGTTGGAGGTGTGTCTCTGGAGGAGGCTTCAGTATGGAGGAGGCGTGGCCAAACAGCAGTTTGTTTTGGTTTCATACTGGTGCTAAAGGGCGACATCTACTGGATCAAAAAGTCGAACATTCTTCCTTTAATAATATCTTATTATATATAGATATATTCCCCTCCATGTGTTATTTCAGAAGTGATGCTTTAAGTCATCAGCAGCTAATCTCAATGTTTGGTCCTCACAAGTATAGTAAGAATACAGAAATGTAACTCTGACCTGAGAGATGGGGTGGTTGACGTAGATCCAGCCCGTACTGGGGTTGATGTGCAGGTAAGCCGGCTTCTGATTGGACAGAGAGTACGTGATGGCCGAGTTGCTCCCCTGGTCGTCATCGTGCGCCGCCGCTCGCAGGAAACTAGTCCCGACGGGAGTGTCCTCACGCAGGAAGTCTGTGAGGGAGAGGAGGGATGAAGAGTCAGAGTCTGACGCACCACAGAGTGTAAAAACTAATTTCCCCTCACAGGATCAATAAAGTATAAATCATTATTATTTATTAATATTATTTTATCATTATTATTATTATTTATTATTAATATTATTATTATTATTATTATTATTATTATTATTATTATTATTAATTATTATTATTATTATCATTATTATTATTATTATTTATTATTAATATTATTATTATTATTATCATTATTATTATTATTATTATTATCATTATTATTATTATTTAATGGGAGTGTCTCGTCCTTTTCTGATTACAGGCGACTCTAAACGAGGGACATGATCCAAAGAGTTTTTAATGAAGAATTGTAGTTTTATATTGAAACCATCTTCTGTCCTCATGTCAGATAACAAACCTCCATCACAGATCCATGACGTCCACCTGCAGCAGCTACAGAAGAACTCGTGCTGTGGCGGAGGCCTGGATCTAAAGTAGTCCACTGAATTCATTACGTCTGACTGAGCACATTGTGAAAGCATGTTCTGTGATGGTAAGCAGATATTATAATAATGGGAGCGCAGCGTTTGTGTCCTGTCAGCACTGTGTCACCTCATTTTGTCATTTCTGGGTCTCATGCTGCAAAGTCAACAGATGCATTTTTATACATTTATAAACATAACTTCCAATTCTGCTGACTGTGATGAGCGTCAGTGCTGATCACACGACAAAATAAAATAAAAAAACGGAGCGGAGCGCAGATCTGCCGCTCGGTTTCCTCTGGAAGACTGCGTTTCATGCACCGTGTCAATAATAATAATGTCCTTTTTTGTATTCCTGAATCCCAGAGGAAACATCTCTACTGAATATCAAAGTCAGGTCCTGCTGAGTGTGATGAGCGTCAGAAGAAAAGACCTCATACGGTTCACTTCTACACACAAAGCAGATTGGAAGGAGCTCCATCTTATTGTGCTAAATTAAATCAGCTGTGTTTATAATATGAAGCTTCCAGTCCAGGGTGTACCCGCCTCTCGCCTCCCAGAACAGGACAAGCAGTATAGATAATGGATGAACTGTTTTTATATAGAAGCTTTAAAACCACTCTTACTATCTATTACTACTAATAATCACTATTATTATTATTATTATTATTAATACTGGTAAGTTACATAACCGACCTTATGGGCTTTAGTTGCCACCACAAAATCAACTGGAACATTTTAGTCAATTAAATCAAGAATCATTTAAAAACATGACAGCCAGTGATTTTTCCAGAAACAGTCAGATCAATCAAATGTTCCTTATTTAAGATGAGCAAGAAGCTTCCTGAACAGAGGTGGTGTCTGGATCACTTCCCCCATTTGTACAGGAAACCCCCTACACACGCACACACACACACACACACACACACACACACACACACACACACACACACACACACACACACACACACACTCCCAGAGGTAAATGAATGCATGTCCAGAAACATTTCAATCTGCCTGTTTAATAGTTAATGAGCCACTCAGAGTGTTTCTCTAATCTGACGAGGAGAACTTCTGACACAACGCTTATCAAAACACATATTTGCACACGTCGTAAACAAACACGGACCCGCGGGAGGCGGCGGCAGCGGCGGCGAATATTTCATCAGTCTTAAGAGCTTTCCAGGATTACAAGGATGCAGACTGATGGGTAATCACACACAGAAGATTTCCATTTTTCACCTGTTTCTGTCCTCTACCTTGACACGCACACACACACACACACACACACACACACACACACACACACACACACACACACACACACACACACACACACACACACACACACACACACACACACACACACACACACACACACACACACACTCACACACACACACACACACACAGCAGCGCCCGTGCTGTACAGTAAGACAGTAAGAGGACAGCTTAGCGCACAGATGTTAGCGTGGGCGGCTCCAGAAGAGACCAAACCTTTTAACCCGGACTATGTTGCTGCCTTGTTTCACACTTGCAGAGGCGCGGGAGGAAAAAATCAAACTGAGAGGAATGTGAGGCAGAAACACACTCCTGAACAAGTTCAACACTGCAGCACTGACAGTAGAAGAAGACGCACTACGACTTATTGAAGTAAGTCAACCAGAAGCTACAGTATGAATATGGGAAATTTTGCCAACAGAAGGATTAACAGTTACCACAGAGAGCAGAGGCAGTAAGCCTCAGTCCCCCTCAGCCCTGTTACGCCTGGCTCACACTGTACCACTGTCACAACGCCCGACCAGACCTTGAGATTGACATGCTCACACTGTACGACTGAAATCAGGACGGAGCGTTGACAATTGTTAATAAAGTTTAATTTGAAAAAAACAAAGGATGACGGTTAGTGAAAGAGAAGGAAGTGGAAGTTGATGATCTGCGCTGGTCACCATGACTACAGTCCTCCCTTGTCTGATTATATTGTAGTCACACACAACTTCTGCCGGACCCTTTCATGACGTAAACGTCAAGATTTTAAATTCTAAATATCAAACATGTTTGAAATAAATCGGGGCGTCCCCGACGATCGGCGGGCAGATCGTGGACGTTAAGATTGGATCTTTGGACCGCTCACTCTACGAGATAATCTGAGCAGAGAATCGGGTCCGAGCAGCCTCAAGTCGGGAGAGACCCTGAGATTGTCGGGAAGAAGGAAGAATCGGAGCTCAAATCGGCCCGATGATCCTGCAGTGTGAGTCGGACTTTACCCCTCCCAGTTCTTGTTGCAGCGGAGGGGCAGGGTGATTGTGATCTCCCAGAATGCACTGCGCTTCACATCACACAGAATGACAACAAAAGAGAGTAGCAGCTGCAGTAATCTTTGCAGATCGGAGACTCACACTGGTAGCGGCTGTTCTCAAACTTTGGGTCGTTGTCGTTCTGGTCGGCGATGAGGACGGTGATCTGACAGATTCCTATGAGCGGCTCCTCGGCCTGATCTGTGGCCGTCACCGACAGCGTGAACTCCCTCTGACGCTCCCGGTCGAAGCTCGCCGTCGTGGTGATCACACCTGACGAGCAAACAGGAAACACACCAACGGTGATTCTTCACTTTTTCAATGAACAAAACTGATATTAAAAATAGAGATGTGGAACTCACCGGTGTCAGGGTCGATGTCAAACCCGGACGACACGCCGTCTCTGTGCATGATGCCGTACTTGACCTCCCCGTTGACGCCCATGTCGGCGTCGTGGGCCTGGACTCGCAGGACAAACGTCCCCGGAGGCAGATTCTCCAGGACCACGGCGTTCAGACTGTAGTTCTGACACTGAGAGCACAAACAGGACGAGGAGAGACTGGAGTCAGAACGAGACTCAAGAGAGACGACAGAGAACTCTGCAAAGATGTAGTACATCCATCCATCATCCATCCATCATCCATCCATCATCCATCCATCATCCATCCATCATCCATCATCCATCCATCCATCATCCATCATCCATCCATCATCCATCCATCATCCATCCATCATCCATCCATCATCCATCCATCATCCATCATCCATCATCCATCCATCATCCATCATCCATCATCCATCCATCCATCCATCATCCATCATCCATCCATCATCCATCATCCATCCATCATCCATCCATCATCCATCATCCATCCATCCATCATCCATCATCCATCATCCATCCATCCATCCATCATCCATCATCCATCCATCATCCATCCATCCATCATCCATCATCCATCCATCCATCATCCATCATCATCATCCATCCATCCATCCATCATCCATCATCCATCCATCATCCATCCATCCATCATCCATCATCCATCCATCATCCATCCATCCATCATCCATCCATCCATCATCCATCCATCATCCATCATCCATCATCCATCCATCATCCATCATCCATCCATCCATCATCCATCCATCCATCCATCATCCATCCATCATCCATCCATCCATCCATCCATCATCCATCATCCATCCACCCATCCATCCATCCATCATCCATCCACCCATCATCCACCCATCATCCATCCATCCATCCATCATCCATCCATCATCCATCCATCATCCATCCATCATCCATCCATCTATCATCCATCATCCATCATCCATCATCCATCATCCATCATCCATCCATCCATCATCCATCCATCATCCATCCATCATCCATCCACCCATCATCCATCATCCATCCATCATCCATCCATCCATCCATCATCCATCCATCCATCATCCATCATCCATCCATCATCAATCCATCATCCATCCACCCTTCCATCATCCATCCACCCTTCCATCATCCATCCATCATCATCCATCATCCATCCACCCATCCATCATCCATCATCCATCATCCATCCATCCATCCATCATCCATCATCAATCCATCATCCATCCACCCTTCCATCATCCATCCACCCATCCATCATCCATCATCCATCCATCATCCATCATCCATCATCCATCATCCATCATCCATCATCCATCATCCATCATCCATCCATCCATCCATCTGTCCATCATTGGAATAATCTTTGCAGAGTATTCCAGAGTTCCTTATGTCTTAAAGTTTCTTCCAAATTAAGGAATAATCTGGAGGTGATAAAGATGTTTTTAATTCCTGCATCAGTTTTGGTTTAATCTTTCACTTGTTAATGTCCAGAAGACCTCAACACAAAGGAACAGCTGCTCTACTCTGAGCTCCCTTTGGATGTCTGAGCTCATTACCCGACCTCTAAGGATGAGCGCAGACACCGAACAGAGGATATTCATATCATCTGTGATCTCTTTCAGTCACTTCCTGAAGCTCATTATCTCAGGTGAGGTGAGACTTAAGAATTGAGAGCTTTGCCTTCTTGTCTCTGCTCTGTCTTCACCACAACATTAAAAACACAAAGACTTCTGCTGACTCTGCAGAGATCTATCATCCATCTCATGCTTCATTTGTTACCCTTCTTCCTGATCATGAGATTCTTCATCTACTTTACATGTGACTGAAACTCGCTCCAGACTCCCATAACAAACGAGTCATCACTCCACACTGAACTGAACCAGGTAAGGACCGATGACCACAAAGAGAACCCGGGATACTTCAGATGTAATCACTCTTTTTTACCTCCTGGAAGACGGGCTTGTTGTTGTTGATGTCATTGATTCCTACGATGACCTGGGTCGAGCTGCTGAGCGGGTACGGCCCACCAGAGGCGTTGTCGTCCGTGGCGGTGATGTTGAGGACGTACTGAGGTCCTCTGAGCCTCGGAGGGGGACTCCTCCTCAGCTTTATGATTCCTGCAAACAAAATAAGTTTCAGACGCAGTACAAATACTCCTCGTTCTCTGAACCCATCCTCTCAGCTCGTTCTGCTCTCAGACTCCGCTCAACATGTTTTAAACACTCATGAAACAGTAGGAAACAGAGGGATGTTTGTAAAAGACTTTCTGCAGGTTTTTCCTGAAATACAAACTCTTTTTTTTTAGTTTTAATTAGTTTTATGTTCACAGGCAGTGAAGAGTCATTCCTGCTTGCCAAGGGACAATGTTCAGCACAGTTTGTAGTAAACACACTCCTCTGGAGGAATTCAGGAAATGTTTTAGCTAATGGCAAATAAAGAGAGAGTGAAGGAGAGAAAACAGCTAAGAGCTGCTGGTTCCTCAAAGTCGAAGGACAAACTAATGTTTGTGCTGCAGAGAGGATTTCATTTCTGGAATCTTGAATATTCTTTTATTATGAAAGAGCCGTGCAGGGACTCAAGTTTGCTTGGTTTATACTATACGTTGTTTAGGGTCATAACAGTTATCAGACAAACAGATGCATTATTTTGGGACATGTTTGTATAATGCTAAAGGCGAGCTGCTGACAAACAAAAGAAAAGAGCTTTTAAGACACTTTAATCTAAACTTAGTTACAAATCTGCTTCTCTGTTG